CAACAAGGTTGTGTCATCTGTATAACACAGGTTGTTGAGGAATTTTCCACCAATCTTGATGCCATATTTCTCCTCATACAGCCTGGCCTCCCGTATAATCTGTTCTGCATATAGATACCATATCCATTTGTTTGTTGGTAGCATTTGGGCTATTTCCATCTTATTGCTATTGTGAATAGTGATACAATAAACACTTTTGTTGTTATTATGTATCATCAAGTAGAACCTGACTGTAGTTTACCCTCCAGTGGCTTTTTTGAGATATAAATTACATAGGGGGGAGACTGCCTATCCTTCTTTTGTGGAGCAGTTGGTGGATTTGAACTGTATGTCTTCAGGTTGACAGTGCTCTCTTTACCCCTAGGCCACTAGAGCTCCCTGCGATAAATCTAGGTATTCATATATTCATTTTTGTCTCATCTCTGATTTCCTTGGGGTGTATTCCTATAGTGGAATAGCTAAGTCCTGTGGGATTTCTAGTTACTTTTTGAGGAAATGCCAAACTGCTTTTCTTATATACCATTTTATAATCCTACCAGCAGTGCATGGAAGTTCCAATCTCTCTATGTCCTCACCAGCATTTATTGTTTGCTGTTCTGTTAAGCTATGCTATTGCTATTGGAGTGAAATGGTATCTCATTGCTATTTTTACTTACAACTTTCTAATAGTTAGAGGTTTTGAGCATTTCCTCTTGAGTTTGTTGACCATCTGAATAGCCTTCTTAGTGAAGAGTCTTTTCATATCTTTTGCCCAATTTGTAATTAGGTTATTAATATTTTAATTGTGGAAGCACTGTAGCATTCTATAAATTTTAGTTATGATTCCTTTGTCTGAATGTTGTTGCCAGATAGTTTTTCTAGTCTGTAGACTTGCTTTATACCCTATTGGAAAAGTTTTTTTATGCATATAAGTATTTTAGTTTTTGAATGTCCCACTTGTCAATTTTATCCTCATCTGGTTGTGAATTTTTGGCTCTGTTTGCAAACATATTCATGTCATAGGCTAGGTCTTCTGAGTTCCTTTCCTCTTGTTTTCTGTAATGATCTTTATGGTTTTTCAGTTTCACTTCTAAGTCTCTCATCCACTTTTGAATTGGTTTTTGTGTGTGGAGTGAGAAGTGGATCCTGTTTCTGTTTTCTGCAGGTAGATGTCCAGTTTTGCCAGCACTGTTTCTTAAAGAGCCTGTTGTTTCCCTATTTAATGACTTTCATTTCCTTGCAAAATATCAATTGAGCGTAGATTGGTGGGTTGATTTCTTGACTCCCTGACAACAAGGTTTAATTATCCTCTTATCGTGTATTAGGGAGCTCTTGTGACTTAGGTGGTGAGGAACTTTGTTGCCAACTCTAGAGCACATCCATCAGCTAATCCATCAGCTGCTCCCTGGGGGAAGATGGACTGTCTTCTCCCCAGTGGTTTCCTGCCTCTGAAAACGTCTTGGAGGGTCAGCTATGTGTTGGTTAGGACTCAATAGTAAACAGCTACACTAACATATTGCATTTTAGGGAACTCTGATGGCCTAATGGATGAGAAGTTGCACTGCCTACCTGAAAGTAAATGATTCACCAGCTGTTCCATGGGAGAAAAAATTGGCATGCTCCTTAAATCCTCTGAAACCTCTAGAGGGTCAGTTATGAGTTGGGTACAACTTGACATCATATGACAATAACACCAATGTTCAGAAGTAGGTCACTGGACATTTTATTTTTGCAGTCATATTTTTGAAGCTCCACTGAAAGCTGCTGGTATTTGACAGCTTAACTTCTGCATCATAGCAACACAAAAGCTACCACAATGTATCAACAATGAAACAATTATTTGCTTTGGAGTTGGAACCAACTCATAGCTGACTCTCCAGTGGGTTTTTAGAGGTTGTAACTCTCATGGTGAAATATTACCTATGTTATCCCTGTGGGACAATTAGTGACAGCTAACCACCTGCCTATGCACGGAAGGAGATTACCTAACATCCTGTGGAGCAATTGGTGGATTTGAACCATATGTCTTCAGGTTGAGAGTGCATCACCTTACCACTTGACTACCAGAGCTCCCTGCAATAAATGTAGGTATACATATTCTTGTCTCAGCTCGGATTTCCTCAGGGTATATATGGATCTTAGCTGAAAGCAGGGAGTACCAGAGGATTGTCTATCTGTGTTTCATTGATTATGCAAAGGCGTTTGACTGTGTGGATCTTAACAAACTGTGGCTGTCTCTGAGAAGAATGGGAATCCCAGAACATTTAATCATGCTAATGCGAAACCTATACTTGGACCAAGAGGCAGTCATCAGAACAGAGAAAGGAAACACTGCATGGTTCAAAATTGGGAAGGGTGTATGACAGGGATGTGTCTTATCTCCATACCTTTTTAACCTGTATGCAGAACAGATTATCTGGGAGGCTGGACTCTGTGAGGAGAAATGTGGTGTCAGGATTAGTGGAAGATCTATCAACAATCTGCATTATGCAGATGACACAACCCTGCTTGCTGAAACTGAGGAGGACCTGAAGCGCTTGCTGCAGAGGGTCAAGGACTGCAGCCTCCAATATGGATTGAGGCTAATGTCAAGAAGACAAAGATTCTCACCACTGGACCAAATGGCAGCATCAAAATGGATGGTGAAGAGATTGAGATTGTTCACAGCTTCAGTTTGCTTAGCTCCACAGTCAACACTCTCGGCACCAGTAGCCAGGAAATTAAAAGGCTCATTGCCATGGGAAAGTCTGCTGTTAGGGACCTCTCCAAAGTACTGAAAATGGTGTCTCTCTGGAGACTAAGGTGCGTCTGATATAGGCCATGGTCTTTGCTATCACTTGTTATGCATCAGAGAGTTGGACAATGATTAAGGAGGATAGAAGGAGAATTGATGCCTTTGAGCTGTGGTGCTGGCGAAGAGTATTGAGAGTACCATGGACTGCTAGGAAAACAAACAGATTCATCCTGGAAAGGGTTAAACCGGGCGGCTCCTTGGCAAGGATTCTGAGGCTCCATCTAACATACTTTGGACATGTAAGGAGAGACTGGTCCTTGGAGAGGGACATCATGCTTGGTAGGGTGGAGGGCAGGCGCAGGAGGGGAAGGCTCTCTTTGAGGTAGATTGATTCAGTGACTAGGGTAATCGGGATGGGTGTGTCAGAGACAGTGTGATTGGCACAGGACAGAACAGAGTTTAGGTCTGTTGTACACAGGGCCACTATGAGTCGCAAGCGTCTCGATGGCACATAACAACAACAACATGGTCCTATAGTGGAATAGCCAGGTCCTGTGGGATTTCTATAGTCAACTTTTTGAGGAAATGGCAAACTGCTTTTCATATGTACTATTTTGCGGTCCCACCAGTGGTGCATGGGAGTTCTCTGCATCCTTGGAGCATTGATTATTGGCTTTCCTGATAAACTTTCCTATTGCTCCTAGAGTGAGATGGTATCTCCTTGTTGTTTTGATTTACATCTTTCTAATTGCTAGAGATTTTGAGCATTTCTTCAGGAGTTCATTGATTGTCTTAATATCCTCCTTCATGAAGAAAGAGTCTTTTCATGTCTTTTGTAGTTGAGTTATCAGTCTTTTTCTTCTTGTTGACAGAGCAGCTCCTTACCCCGCCACCACCAGAGACTGTGTTTAACAATTAGTCAACATTCCTCATGTGTTACAGTGTGTATAGAGAATACATCACACCCACTGTTGGGTTATCAGTGCTTGAAGATATTTTATGCTGAACGATTGGAATTTGTACTCAAACAAGCATCTGGGGTTTAGATGTAGAATATAGCTCTTCTCCTCCTCTTCTAATTATATAGAAGTGAGCCCTGGTGGTACAAGAATTAAAGTGCTAGGAGGCTATCAAAAGATTGGTGGGTACGTCAAGGGGGTGATTACCAAAGAGGTCCAGGGGCCTCTTTTAGTAAGAACTAGAAAGTTCTGACTCAGATATAAGACTTCGATAGATCATTGCTACAAGAAGGACACCAGGCCGAGAGGAAGAGAAAGAAACGGAGGTTTATTAGACTTTCATAACAGACAAAAAGCAGGTCAGGAAAATATGACCCTATCCTTATCCTATAGACGAGCATATATGTTTTCCAGTAGGGATTGCCTTTACACAGCTTTCTGGTGACTTACCTTTGGAGTCTGCTCTTCCACTACCGCCTTTCATTTTAGATGAGTCTGCATCCTTGTTTTGTTTTGCCACTGTTTCGCATCACTGTCCAGAATAGTTTCTGATTTCTTTACTTTGTTAGTGTTTCCTTTGTCATTCCCTATCAGTCAGAACTCACTCATCAATCTACAGGAGAAAGACAAGGAAGTCAATTTCCATAGAGTTAACAGCCTTGGACACCGAATAGGACTGTTTCACTCTGTCCTCGAGGGTCTCTGTGAGTTGGAGTCAACTCCCCACAGTAGGTTTGGGATTTAGGTTTTGATAATTTTATAAAATGTTCATGTGGAAATAGATACGGTCTCTATGAAGGAAATCATCTACCCATTTAAGTCTAGCAGTCTGCCGGTGGAATCGACGGTTGTTCTTTATAGGAAACTTCTAAATAATTTACATGGTGAATTGGGTTAAAGAGATCCTTAGCACATGGGCGTTCTATAAATAGGACTGAGTGAATAATATAGCAACCTTCTTTCAGTGCCCCTCCCTTGAAGAGATCTTGTTTTATGGACTCCAATAAGGTCATTGTTAGGGAACTCTTGGGGAGGTTTGAGTTTGCCTGGGCAGAGCTCTCCCAGGGGAGTCTCTTCTAGCTTATTTCAGGTGGCCTGCCACGGCTTCTCTTTGCTCTTTCACTAAAGTAGACTCCTGTCTTCATCATCACTGTTGTGAACAGCTCAGCCCCAGGACTCTGCATCACCAAGCAGGGGTCAGGAGAAAAGTTAAAGTAGTCCAGTGCTTGCTAGGAGAAAGGTAGAGAAGGACAGGGAAGAAGAAAGAAAAAATGCTTGCGAAGAGGAAGTGGTAAGAGCCTGCCGAATTTCAGTGTGACCTGTTCTGTCAGGTGACTTCTGTGGGGGAGGGGACCTGGGAGAAAAAAAAAGTTAAGTAAAATGTCCTTATAAAGACAAAATCTATTTCTTTCCTGGCTGATGATTTGTCACTCTAGTCACTTCCTGCCTTGTGACCACACACCCAGAGTTGACAAAGTTGCTCTACAGCTAAGAGTGAGAAGGGGCTTTGTCACACGCCAGGCCTACTGAGGACAGTTTTGCTACAAGGTAAATTTCTCTATAGCTTTGCATTGTCTCCAAGTGCTCATCCTGCGATTACTTGTTACATGACCTGCTTCTGTGGCAGTGGGCTTTGGCTTTGGGGAAGAGACGTGTCACCTGTCCTCTGAGCCCTCTTGAGCCCTGCCACCCTTGAGCTGCCTACTCTGGGGTTCCTGGTGTCCCCTCCACGATGGGGCACTCAGCTGCCTGGCTTGCATTCTTCTCAAATCCTACACAGTTCTCACCCTAGAACAATGACTGATTTTCCTCTTTAAATCAAACTAAGTCCTGATTTCTTTCTAATGCTTTATTTCAGGGAGGCTATATTTACTGTGATTTTATCTCCTTTAAAATGTTTTCAGGAAAGTGCATATTGATCATTTAAATTGTGCTGCTCTTCGGCCCAACTGTGTGAGCTTAATTTTAGCTCTTTGTGGTCATTTTGGGGTCAAGGGTTCTTAATGCGTGTGCTCAATAACCACATGGAATGAGAAACCTCTTTCTTCTCTTAGGCAGCTCTGGTGGCTCAGCCTGTAGGGAGTCACGCTGCTAACCCAAAGTCCACACCTCTCTGGAGGTTCGAATCCACTAGTGACTCCTTAGGAGAAAGATAGGCAATCTCCTCCTGTGCAGGTTACAGCCTCAGGAACCAATGGAGAGTCAGTTACGAGTCGGTTCAGATGCCACAGCAAAGAGTGGTAGCAGTAGTGAGGTCTCTGTGTTTAGGGGGAACCATGGTTTTGTTAGTAGTGAGCTGTGCTACAACCAAAGGCTTCACTTCTCTGCAAGGCTCCAAACCCACTGGTGGTTTCTCAAGAGACAGGTGGGCCATGTCCTTTTGTTAGTGAAAGCCTCCGAATTACACCTAGGGTCTCCAGGAGGGAGAAGCAACTTGAAGACAATGCGTTGAGTTGTTCTCTTCATTTACTGTCAATTCATTTGGGTTGTTTGTTTAATTGTAGTGTTTTTGTAGGATTGTCTGGACTACCTGATATATACAATTCATTGTAAGAGTAAAATTGATTGCAAGATAAGGGTAGATAAGTTAGTATTTTCTGGACCTTGGGAGGGAATAAAAAGGAATTGGAAAAGTTAATCCAAAGAAGAAAAATGTCTCTTGACTAAAGTAGAATATAGAATGGTAAAGGGCTATAACAGTAAAATGTGCTTTCATCCCCATTCCAGCTTACTCTCTAGCCAAATCAGGCAGAACCGTCTAGAACTTGTACTTCAAACAAGTCCTGTTGTGGTGGTTGAGGAATGTGTTTAGGGAGATAGTTCACTAGCAAGCCCAGGGATGATTTCCTCTGTAGAATTTAGAAAGTTATCCCTTTGAACTCTTTTAGGATGCCATCAGAACATCAAACCCAGTTCTGACTCCTGGTCACCTTCCATTGGGTTTCTGAGGCTGTACATTTTTATGGGAGAAGACTGTCCGTCTTTCTCCCAAGGATCAACCTGTAGATCCAAACTACCAGAGATATGTGGTCTCTTGGTTAGCAGTACAACATGTAATGCACTGTTGTTGTTCTTGTTGTTGTGTTGTTGTGTACCAACAGCTTGAGCTTGGAACTGACCCATAGTTGATCCTCCAGTGGGTTTTCAGAAACTGTTAATTACACGGAAGGAGATTGTCCATCCTTCTCCTGCAGAGAAGCTGGTTAATTTGAGCCACGTGCCTTTGAGATTGCAGTTCACCTTCTTACCAGTAGGCCACCAGAGCTCCCTTGTAATGCTCTGTGCCCCCTAAAAGTGCGTGCATGCTCTCTCTCTCTCTCTCTCTCTCTCTCTGTGTACAGACAGAGAAAGGCATTACTTCAAGTGATTGGCTCACATGGCTGTTTAGGGCTTATACATTTTTCCTTTGCTGGAACAGACTCATAGTTGACCCTCCAGCAGTATTTCAGAGGCTATAAAACATATGGAAGAAGATTAGCTATCTTTGTCCCTTGGAGCCTCAGGTAGATTCAGACCATCTGCCTTTAGGTTGGAGTCCATAGATCAGGTGGCTGGGACAAGAAAAAATGAAGAGTGAGATATAGTTTGCTAAAATACCTACTTCCCTGGAGGCAGAATACACCTGAGGGAATCTCCCTTCTTAACAGATTGATGGTATGAGATTAGATAACATTATGGAGGGTGATTCATTGCATAGCATTATATTACACTACACTAAATTCAGTAACTAGACTAGTGTTTGACCAAATTGCCACACAAAATGAACCATCACATTGTACGTGGAACCTATCAGATATTTTGGGGGGGGAAGTCAGTGTTAATTTGTAAGTCTTTTATCATTCTCTCTCTAAACTCTTTGGAGAGGGAGAAGACCAACATGTAAAATCTCATTCAAATGTACGTATTTAAACAAGAGAAGTTGGGGAAAGTGGTAAGAATACTGAAGATTGGTAAACACTTATTCCATCTCTCTCTGTTGTCAAGTTGGAAGCCATCCGTAACTGAGGCATAGTGGGTTTTCAGAGCTGTAAATCACACTAGAGGAGCTTGCCTATCTTTCTCAGCTGTTGTTATATTGTCAGTCCACTTCCAGTATCTCACATAATCTCTTACCTCCCTTTCGAGATAAGGAGTGGTCTGAAAAGCGCTAGCCTAAAGCCTCTGGATTGTTAAGGAAGGGCAAGGAACCAGCATTTCAGGCTCCATGCTGATGACCAAATTCTCCCTTCTGTGGCAATGTCCTTACCCCAGATATAGATGTTCAAAGGCTATTCTTCCTAAAACTGACTGAAGAGATCTTCAGTTTTGAGAGAAAGGGAAATTTCCTAGAAATCCAGAATTATTACTTTCATAAACGAAAGGAATTATTGCAATTTCAAATAATAATGCAATGAAGAGGCACTTTTCTTTTAATTGATGCATAATTTTACTAAATAATTTTATGCCTTCACAAACTTACTTCAGTCTGCTTCCTCAAACCTATTTCTTGTCACTTCCTTCTTGTTCAGTCCTCACCCCCACCCCGATTACCCATGTTCTGGGTATATCAGACCACAAGCCACTAGAAGTTTCTAATACTCTGTGTGCTGTGCTCTAACAGTTCCTACAATTGCTTTCTTCTTTATTTGTAGAAGTTCTGGTCACTATTCAAAGTTAACTTTAAAAGGCAAGACTTTGTTGAGGCCTTCTCTGATGGGTTTTTCCCCCCACTATTTTGTGTGTGTATCAGCCATGTTGTTTCAGAGTTTCATGCTATTTATTTGCTAACAGACTAGTCTCTACCTCTCTCCTGGATCATAGTTATTGCTGTTTCTGTGTGCCATCAAGTCACTTGCAACTCATAGTGACACTATGTACAACAGCCTTGAACCTTGCTCAATCTTGAGCCAACTTTATTGTCTCTGACATACCCACCCTGTTACCCCAGTCATTGAGTCAATCCTTCTCATCCAGGGTCTTCCTCCCTTGCACTGTCCCTCCATCCATAGAAGGAGTATTATATTTATTAAGTTGAAAGTATGTCACAAGTATTTTTCTTCATTTTTTAATATGCATAAATATCTTTGCTTTGACTTTGCTTATGAATATAATGCTGACTTCCTAGAATCGCTGCTACAAAGGAAAATACAACTGATATTATACTAGCTTACCATGCTTTATCTTTATTAAAGTGGTTATTTTTCATTGCAGCATCAAAATACTGTAGCTCCTTGGACCATGAGGAATTTAGGAAGTTTTGTACTGATGCTGCCAAAGAGACAAAATAATAGTGAAATTATTTTGGTTGAAATACATGCATTAGAGTTAAATGGTGCTTCCCTTACTGAAGTGATATATCCAATAACATCTTTGAGAGTGAAGAACTTAAGAACAGATAGCATTAACTTTTGCTCAGACACTCTGAGTTAATATCAGAAAATTCTCAAATCAAACTTTTCTGCGTAACCTAAAGAGTTCAAGTCCTTCTGTGTATATTGGAAAAATGGAAAATACATTTCAAGTCAGTGAGGTAAAACAAAACAGGGAATTTTTTTCAAATACTTGTTTTATATAGTAAGTCTATAAAGACACTGGGCTTTATGACTCAGCCCACTGTATAGAAGAGTGACAAAGTTAATCTGGTTATCTTCCTATGGATTTTGTTCATTTCAAGAAACTGAGGTTTCTTTAAACATCCCAGCCAGCAGATATTTTTAATGAAACAATACGCTTCTATATGCATATTGAACATTGTAGAAATGAAAATTAAAATTAGTGTCAAATGAAATATAAAGCCAAGCAGTGTCAGTAGATTCCAAACGTTTTAAGTGTCTCTCTTTTGCCAGAATGGCAGTGTGCTTCTTTAATAAAAACCCTCCGGTTTCACATTGTGTTCACTTTGGAAGTTCCCAAGAAGTTCCCTCTTGCTGAGCTGTTCATCTTCTAGAGGTGTCTGCCCACAGCTGTGGAAGCCACTGAGCTCACATGTGGCATCTCCCAAGTGTTTTCTTCCCTTCCTTTCTGGTTCAACTTCCCTCCTTGTGCTACTGACTGTCCCTGATGTTTTGAACTGTCTGTTTCAATCATTGCATCAATCTTTCCAGCAATTTCAGTTACTCTATCTTGTAAGATATTGCAAGCAGCAGAGGAAAGAAAAATGTTCCAAACTATTATTCCAGTCGCATTCACTCACTCGCTGTCATTAAAATGAGATAGGTTCATAAGTAACCTATGAGTCAAGGACCTCTGCAAAGCCTTACAGAGAAATGAAGTCAGGTTAAAGATTAAGATGTGCCTGATCCAAATAATGGTGTTTCCAGTTGCTGAAGATGTGAATAAAGTAGACAATGAATGAAGAATGACAGAAGAAGAAATGATGAACGCCGTTGAATTGTGGAATTGGAGAAGAGTATTGAATATGGACTATCAAAAGAACAAGTAAATATGGCTTCGAGGAAGTAAAACCAAAGTGTTCCTTAGAAGGCAAGGATAGGTAAACTCTGTCTCACTTACTTGGGATATGTTGTCAGCCATTGGAAAAAGACATAAAGCTGAGAAAATGGAGGGTG